GTACGGTTGTGAGAGGAGCAGTGGAGGTGAGAGGGGCAGTGGAGAGACTGGATGTGGTCTGTATGGCTGAATATCAATTGGAATAACACTTTGAATTTCTTTGTTGACTTTTTCATTTTGTTTGGTATATGTGTACTAGTATGTGGAAAGGAAAATACGCACTTTTTTAAGGGCGGAGTTGAAGACTAACCTGCTGGATGGACATACAGTTTGATCGGTGAGCTGATAGGCCCGAAATTGTCCATGTGTCGGCGTGTCTTGATTGCTGCTTGAACTGTGCACACCATATCGCCTGGTGGAACATCTGTGAAAACCTGGAATGTGTTTGTCGTTTTTTCTCGTCTTCTGACATTTTTGGTCATGAAAACACAACTCCATTCGTAGTAGTGTTCACCACCAGGCAGAAGGAGTGGAGGATTCCAAGTTAAATTCACAGATTTTTCACCAACTTTTGTCAATTTGATGTCCCTTGGCACTCCCGGTACTGAGAAGGAAAGGCAAATCTAGTGATCAACAGGAAATGTGTCAGCAGTAGTGTCTGAAGGGCCTCCTCACCTCCAGGCTCGGTTTCAGCATCTCCCAAGTAGGTCCAAAAGGGCTCGTTTCCAGTGCAATTGGATTGCAGTCGAAAGGCGTATTTGGTGGTAGGAGAGAGGTTGTTGAATGTCACTAGTTGTTGGTTCTTATGCGGTTGTTGAAGTACACGATTTGCAGTCTTGTTATACGGAGCCGCTTCCACAAGATACGAGCAAAGTGTTTGAAGGGATTGCGGTTTGTCCCACTTAACTGTCACACCATTCCACGAGACAATTATTTCATGATATGGAGGCCGTAAGATGGCTGGAAATGGTGATAGCAAAAGGAAATAAAGCACTGTGATCCAAACAATGGTCAAGAAGGGGAGTGAGACTCACAGTACTCGGGCATTACGATGGAATGGACAGCTTTTTTGTTCAAAGCGTTGTTTGTAAACGCTGTAATCGTGTAGTTGAGTGAAAATTTGTAGAAGGCCTTTGGCGAAACTTCAAAAAACATGGATCGGTCGTATTGAGCTTTGACAAGTTTATTGTAATCAATGAAATTCATGGCACTGTGTTCGGGTGGATTCTAAACGGTTCAGAAAAAAAGTTCATTCAACCACTTCTTGCATACACGTGCTTAAGACGTTCGACATTTTTGACATTTAAACAATTAACTAGACAGCCTGACGTTTTGAAAGCCTAAACGTACCTGAGGCGACCTTCTCTCCGAATTCTCAAAATCCTACAAGGGTCAAGAGCTACTGAAGCGCCCTCAGCACACCCAAAGGTGCTGAGTGACACGGATGAGTTTGTTATGATGCTTCTTGAATGGCGTGGTTATAGGAACAGCACAAAATGACTTAAAGCCCTACCAAATCAGTAAATCATAGAGAATCCTTCTCAATGCCTTTTTCTTTGTGGGAAATCAGGACGTGCCACTCATTATTCACTAAAGGATGTGCTAAAGTACCCTTGTTGGAGAATGATCAGGGAGAAGTGGAGAGAGACGTTTTACTTTAGTCTCCCACCCAGCAATACACATTGAGGAGGAGGAGGAGGAGGAAGAGGAGGAGTAGAAAGCACTTACCGTACCATTCACGACCTTGAAAACAATAGTTTCATTCGTATTACTGAAAATGAAAGTGAAGTTCTGGATCAATCGAGGATGCGAGGCTGGTGGACGGAAGGTGATGAGGAGACGAGCAGTGGTGGATGAAACCAATGTCAACTTTCCAAAGATATCGCACGGTGGATCAACTAAAGCATTTAAAACAGTTCTCTGAGCGTATAAGAAGAACAATTTATCATGTTATCTTTGCAACGCATTTAGTTTTCCTTAAAGTAAGTGTAAAAGGATGTTTACGTTCAAAGCTTGTTTTGGTTGGAATGGAATAGGTTTGGACGTTGAACCTAGGAAGGGATTGAAGCAAAGCCCCGGGAATGTTAAATTCGAGTTGGTGTGTTCTAGGCACAGAGGTCACCGATTGATTCTTGATCGGCACGGCGATCGCCATTGGCGTATGTTCTTCGCCTCGGCAGAAATTCCCAGCCTCAATCTGAATAAATCAGGATAGTTGCTGATTCATATTTATCAGAATTGCTACTGAAATATATAAGTAGGCTGATTTTAAAATCGTTAGAAAAAAGTGGACGCGTCATGACAACTGATCCCTTGAATTTTGCCATATATGAGGTGCAGGTAGTGGAACAAAAGACTCCAACATGTACACCAGAAGCACAAACGGTAAGTTAGAGTAAAGAATCAAGAGAAGGTTAAGCAGCATAAAGTCATTTTAGTTAATAAGTGCTACTTAAGTAGCTTTTCACGTACTGTGTAGCCGGCAGAGGCAATCTCATTATAGATGATCAGTAAGCATTCCTCCGTATTCTGACGCTTTAATATTACCACAAATGAACCCTCACCAACTGCACGAATTGGAGAAATCTCTTGTCTGCTAAAGAGTAATTTGTGGAAAAAATTTCAATAAAAGTGCTAATACAAAATCTGATAAATGTAGACAGGGAGCCTTATTGCACAAGAACTTGGTAATACAAATTGCATCAAAAAGAATTCATCATCTTGCTCTGACAGGATTACATAACCGTTGGGAAATGGTTAGCTGAGGTCTCTTGAAGTGTGCCATCAAGCAGCCATCGAAACTTTGGATCAAATAAAAATTATGGCACATGAGTTAGGACTCACGACGGGATGCGAGAACCGAAGGTAGAAACATCTAAAGAGCACAAAATCCAAAATTTCAATATTAATCAAATGCAAATCAGAACATCGTGAAATAGGAGGTAGCTTACCGCCAGTCTTTATCCTGGCGACAGCAGATACACCCAACAAGTTGAATTTGGTCTTCATTGTGGCTACGACGACATACTCGGCCTCAATTCCATCAACTGCAATACTTAAACTTTCCCATTTCGTGTTAGCACTCTTGATAAAGCTCCCATCTCCGACTCGTGTAACCTTTACTGAGAAATCATACACATCGTTCTGTGACCAGTACTCCTTCACGGGCCAAGAGAGAGACAAGAAACCGCGCCAGGTTAGGGTGAATTTTGCACGAAAGTGGCGTTGATCCGGCCACGTTATCGGTGCCTGTTCAGCAGATACACAGAGCAGGATGCCGAGCACGACAACGACGGCACGCCTTTGCGACATGAGGAGAAATGAGCCTTCACAGTGGTGAGTTAATTTAAATGCAATCATCAGCGCCGAACCAATGAAAATCTCAGATTGCACCAATCAACCGCGGCTTGTGTAGCACCAAATAAGTAACAGTAGAGTTGTCTCGATATTTGTGGTATCAAGTGGCAAATAACTAATCTACACTTAATTTTAGCTGACTTAAGGGGTTACGACTTCAGAGAAGGCGTTTTACCAAAGGCTTATGCAGTTCAACTTCTACTGCTTGTCTACTTAAATCATTTCAGCATCCTGAGGAAAAGTACTTTCATTTTGACAAATAATATGACAACGGACCGTTATAGTAAGACTTTGCTACTTTAATTCATACATTGATGCATAAGAGACTTGAACGCCTGACGGTTACAAACATCCGTCAATCGGTAGACCCATTGCAACCCCCTTGACAAAGAATACATTTGCCAACAACGTGGCAATTGATTGCAACAGGCACATCAAATCTGCACTCCTTCACTTGAAGCATAAAATACAGCCTTTAGAGAAAGCCAATGAAAGATGTCAATCCAAGGAAGAGATTTTCAACTCGTTTATAACTTCTCCGCTGTACTTGTCGACTAACAGCTCCAGAAAGTCCAAGTTGTCAACGAAACGAAAGCCTTTAATCGGCTCCTCCTAAAAAGAAGAATTAGACTTAAGATATGCAAAACAAAAGTATTTACCGACTAGAATAAGGAGCAATTAACATTCCATTTTAACAGTTCACATGTTTTAAACACGATTATGCCTCTGAGTGTTCGTCTTGCCAGGCGCTCAGTGCCGGTAGCCAGATTAGGAAACACTGCATCAATTGGGGACGGATTAGTGGCGCGTAGAACGCCGTGTGAGGGATTGCAAGGAGGAAGAAGCCTTCGCGACAAGTACAATCCCTAAAACTATACAGACAGCAGCACGACAACCCTTCGCACAGATGATCGAGTGGGGCGACCATGTTGGGAAATCCGTCTTTGGCGGAGTTGCCTTACATGCACTACTTAGTGGTCAAAATTTGAGCACACACAAGCAAAAGCGTTGCCGGGAGACTAAAAGGCTCCTACTTGACAGAACCGCCAAAAGAGAGTAGACTTATTTCGTTCTTTTTACGCAGTAAATGTTGAAGTATGCAATAGAATGCATTTATGACGAACCAACAGCAAGAGTAGATGAGTTTGAGCTTGAAGAGCAGTCGTCAGACTTGTCGAGAGGTGACGCATGACTGACACCGCTGAAAAGGCAATCGTCTCAGGTCCACAAAGCAAGCAAAGCAGAAGGAAATCCAAAATTTCGCTCCAATCGAGGTAATTTAAGTAGTACTGACTAAGCCAGCAACGCAGCACCTGAAGTTGACAGGAGACATTGATATAGCAACGATGATAACACATAAAATTTGGACTTAAATTAAAACCCTTAGCGGGTTACCAGTGAGGGTGAATAGCCGGACAAACGGAATGTGTTGTAGAGTTGGGGTAGCTCACAGGAGAAGACCATTTCAAAAATATGGCAAATAGTGTAATGCTGCGAGGAAGGTCTCGTTGTGGCCTAAAATAAAGCATCACCCATGGTTACACTGCTCGATCAGTGCTTTAAATGTCTGTAAGATGGGGAAAAATGGTGTGGAGGCAATAACGAAACGAGACTCGTTGTGAGAAGAACCGAATGTCAGCTCGTAAGGCGAGTAATTAGACCACAGGAAAGAAGTCCCACTACCTGCGTTATTAAACCAATTATCCAGGATACTGCACACAATTTAAGCAGCAGAAATAACAAAAATTGATAAACAAATTGGTCAGACACTAGTTACTACTTAAATATTTCAGTAGAGACTAGAAAAGGCTCGGTATCCACATTTTTATTTTATGGTGTTCCAGAAATATTTCTATTCTAAAAGTTTGCTTTATGTTAAAATGATGTCAAGAATCGCAAGTATGACCTTGATAAACAAATAAAGTGAAAAGATGTTAAGGTTAAGCGCCACCGAGAAGGCGGACACTACTTACAACAGGTGACCACAAGTAATGTGCAAGTGAAGTCCCTTGAAATCGGTTAAGAAAGTCGACTGCATGCGAGACACTGCCATTGTAAAGGAGAAAAATCAACGCCACAAACCAATCAAATGGCTCGAAGCTGTCACCACTCTCTTGAGACGTTTTCACATCTCCGCCGGCTGTTGTAGGTTAACCAAAACACAATTAGCTGCCTTACCATGGTCAAGATGTTGAAGACCTTTTGAAAGGACCCTACCAAGGTTTTTCAAATTTCCAGCATATGACAATAGGTCAGCTAAGTCGTGCATCCGGGCGGTGGGGGGAAGTGTCGTGTCCAATGCATGAACACGATGTCCATAGCTGGAGAAGTGAGAAAAGAAACACAAAATGAGTAAATAAATGAGCACTTTTGAGTGATGCACTTCGAAATCGCTAAAAACATTCGATATAATGGACTTTGTGCCAAGAGATATACTACTTATAAGAGGCGAAACTCATAAAGGCGTACTCGACAATCAAGCTTATGGCAGTTTCCTTCCAACTAGGCAACAAGGATGAGGCAACAGTTGGTGGCACTAAAACAAAAAAGACTTGATTAAAATTGAATAGGCTTTTTTATCAAAAAATCTGAATGCTAACATGATGCGTACTAAGCGCGGCCCTGAACGAATCCCTTTTCAAAAAATATGTGCTAGTCTCTCAAAAACGAGCAAATATTTAAAAGACAGTAGCCAAAACATTTTAAAGAGCGTAAAACTAACACGAGGAGGAAGCAACTTGCTTTCGATTGCAAATAGCAAGAAGACAGGCGTCAAACAAGGCTCCGATGTCTAAAAGAAAATTTAGGGTTAATGACCCGATTTACAAGGCGCCAAAGGTTGTAACTAATTTTAGTGCATTACAAAGCCCTAAAATTCACATGAGACAGAAACCATAAGAAGAGTATAAATAAATTTGAGTTAATAAAATCACGTTAATTCCAAGGGACAAAAAAAAAGTGCTCACCTGGAATTTGCTTATTCATATGTGGTAGAAATTTGGCTACATTTCTTATCCTTGCTTGAAGACGTGGAAACTGGAGGAGAAGTTGATTCTCAATCTTGCATTGACCGATGCTGGGGTGTTGGAGACTGGAAATGACAATACTGACTAGGCTGGCGCTGATTGGCCGCTTCAAGGTCATTGGAGTAGTTTCAATGTTTTTCACACACTGAGGGCAATAGCCAACTTTCTTGCTGCTGGCAGTATATTTCTCTAAATGGTCCGAATTCAGCGTTGTCACAATGGGGTAGGGATAGGGATCCGCATTATGCTAGAGGATTGAATGAAGGAGAGTGAATATATGAGAGTGGGAGTTACCCACCAGCCACCTGTTAGTTGGCAGTAGCTGGTAAAGAGATGCTTTTGCAGAACTTTCATTTTCAATCTTAGATATAACAAGCATTGATGTTATGAGCCAGTGAGTCAATTCGACGTTACTCAATGTGACAAGTATCACCGAAGAGAAATGAAAGCGGCCAGCTCGGAGACAACCAAAAAACTATGCCTAGAGCTGCATGATAAGATCAAAGACCAACTCAGTAGCTGCCACCATGCCAATCACAGAGTCTCCTCTACCTTTCGCCTTTTGGCCTTTCTCAGGCCACTCTATTGCATTTCCAAATGATTGAGGATCAAACTGACAAATTTATCTAACTCAAGTATGTGAAGAGGAACAACAAACCTCGCAAAGGCTGCGGGGAGGTAGATGTCGCTCGTTGGGACCACCAAGAAGTGAACACTTTACAAGAAGACGATTTCGTTCAATCAAGCCTTCATCAATTAGGAATTGGACATCTTCCACTGCCTCCTGATCCAAATTATTTTGTAGTTGAGCATTGAGAAGCACGCGTCTTACGCCAAATCGTGACTCCAGAAGCAAAAATGTATCCAGTGAAGAAAGGAGAGCACTGAGGAATCTAAGGATGCATTCATGACATTGTCAGAGGTGGAGAAGGAAGTTAACTCACCGAAGACCGAAAATTTGAACCTCGTCTGGACGGCAAAGCTTGGCAAGCTTTGTACTGGAGTCTAAAAGGACAGCACGGTCTAAGAAGGCCTAAGACAGAGGAGAATCAGATAATTGTGGCTTACAGACAAGGATTGCGGAGCTGTCGGTGGGCTTCGATCTGACCCACATGGACTGGAATCCCTCAATAAGCCCTCAAACACTGCAGTGAAGTTGGCAAACAACTTTAACAGTCGATTAAAAGGCTAAGAAAATAAAAATAAATGACTAAAGTCACTTCAATTAGTCAAATGGCTTTATTTGAAGTGCTACTCAACCTTCTGAATGCCCATTTCAGTCAGGTCAGCCGGTAGGAGGGCTCCACGATCTGAACTATCTTTCTCGTTATATAAATCATTTGGGGAATCTTCCAGGTCGTCATAACCTTCAACAGATGTAGCAATTGCGGGTTCACATCCTTCCAAACGCTTCCAAACCTCAAGAAATCGATGCTCGACAAAAGCGGTCTTCTCCAAACTCCTCAAGCCCTTAGCACACGAGACGATCTGACTGACCATTAGATCAGTTTCGAGACGGAAACAATTTTGAGTCTGCAAAGAAACTAAAAATACTTACAAGCGTCTTAACTTGCCTAGTCGTGTAGAAGTGACTCACAAGATTTGAAGGAGAGAGAAGGTGGTGTACACAGTAATGCAAAAGGTCGAAGCTCTCCACCAATTCCACACCTCTTGGAGTCTTTAACAAGGCAATAATGAAGATCTCCAACGCCTTTTCAAATAACTCCACGATGCTTAAAGTTACACAATATAGAAAAGCACTTAAAGAGTTACAAAGACATTGACAAATAACTCTCAATTAAGGGAGTAGCCACCAAAACTACACTTTCTCAATGTAGCCTTCTAAGTTGCACGAGATGATGAAATACACGTTTCTAACACGTTCGTGCACGGGTCATGCAAAAATGCCTTTCAGAGGACTGACATAGAAAGGCTAGCACTTACTCCGCCGACGCTTCGTTGTGTTTGGCTTTCTAGAGGGGAGGAGATACGAGATTTTCTTAGAAAATTGCAGAAATGGCGTTGAAAACAAGTGCATTGAAAACCTCACCAAGATTTTCAAGACTTCCAAAACCTTTCGTGGAAGCTCGAAACGAATACGAGCATGACGATTCTGAGGAGTGAGAAGGGTTTTGCTGAGCACATCGCAAAGGTGGCCGACAATCTTCGCCAGAATTTTAGCAATTGAAGCACCTTCTTGACATAAATCTTCAAAGTCATCACCTGCAACCACTTCCAGACAATTGGTCAGTATTTGGGCAATTGTCTGCACTTGTCTGGATAAACAGTTTAAATGTCGGCCTGTTACTTATTACGGAATTAAGTAGAACGTTTTACTGTACGCTCGTACCTTACTGCGTTAGAGTGGGCGAAGTATTCACGACCCTGTACTGTCGAACAGACGTTTGACATAGCTTGTAATAATGCACAAACATTAGGATGTACCTTTTCATCGCGATGTCTATCCAACTTCTGCATAGGCAAAAAAAATAAACAGCTGCATGGCACGGAGATTAAGCCACTTAAAACAAATAAGTAGACTTTATAAGACAAAAGCGAGGTTTACTAGCAGGTCGCCGACGCATGCCTGAATGTGGAATAAGACAATGTCGATTACCGACTGGTTGCAGTCCTTCGAAAGACTTGACATACTGGGAAACTTCCTAATCCGATTCGCTGCTATTTGTGGCGTGCTTTCAACCCTCAAACCAAAGCAGGACACAGCGGCGATCGGCGACTTGGCCAAGCGCTGGAAACATTTGTTCACTAGTTGATGGAACGTATTTTTACCTACAAATTGAATAGCTTCAAGTGTTTTACGAAGCCGCAAAGCAGATTCCACGCAGCCGGTAAGTGCGACAAACTGTGTGACGAACAAAGTTGGAAACAGCGGAAGCATATTGCAGCTTGTTGCAATAAGGCATATTTTATGAGGGCTTTAGTCACCGCACTTAGTTTCTTCAGCCATGAATCTTATCTCATCCCTAAGGTAAATGATGGAAATAACAGACCAAGGAGATCATGAACATGCTACTTAATTAAATAAGTAGCTTACCAAAATCTTCCATTGCCGCATTGTACTCCAATGAGATTAAGAACTCGATAAAGAGCTTCATAAACGTCCGCATAGGCAGTGCCTTTCCCTTAACTACAAAGGCACATCAATTTTAACATGGGATTGTTCCTTACGCATTAGTATTAGCAAAGTGCTCACTCAGAGTGGCTCTATCCTGGTCAGAGAGCTGTTTAATAACGTCTTTGGTAATGGCAACGGGGAGGATTTTGCTATGCGTCTCATGAAAACAAAATAGAGTAGTTAGTGCATGGAGTGAGTGCAGAAAATAAGCTGCTTCCAAATGAGAGGAGGAGTAGAAACTTCGACGATTTGTGTGCGACGAGGGTCCTGCAAGAAAAAAGGCGAAATGAAAAAAGGTCACAGACAGCAGACACCTCCCAACATTCATAAAAGAGATTAATTCTACAAACTTTGAAAACCGTAAAACAGAGAGATCAATTGAGGAACAAGTGTCAACTGTGCAAGCACGGTAGGGAATTCATGAGGTCGTCTACCCAACTTTTACTGTTAACCAAGCAAAGCAGCATGAAGTATGGCCTACTTGGCTTGCGAAGAAACACGTATGCACAATTGGTTAGCCACGTCGAGACCTAAAAGGACTCCCAAGACTAAGAAATACTGCTTCCTCATCAATGCGAATCAATGAAGGCAAGTAATAACTCACTATTTGCTTAGCCTTTGCAATTCGGCTCAGCATCGGTCGGCGTCCATAAGCGCCTCTCTAAAGAAGATCAAATATGACTCTTTTATCGTAAAAATTGTGCCATTGCGTCTGCGTGACAGTGTAAGGGAGGGTGATTCAGACTGAACTCAAAGTGTTCCAAGAGAGAAGGAGGAAATACACCTAACCACCTCACTACCATTGGATGTAATAGTAAGAAAAGTGTTGCCGAGGGAAAAAATTGTAGTGATGGCCATGAACTTGAGGTGAGCATTATGGAAGGGAGACATGAACCTGGTTTGCCTGCATTCCATCCAAGTTTGGATCACAGACCCGCGGTGCCTTTACAGGTTGGCAAATCAACGGTAAAATTCAGACAAGCAAAATGTTTGGCAGGGAGGAGAAGAAAAAGCTAATTAACAAACCGTCCAAAGAGAAAACCACTGAGCTTTTGGATCAAGAAGCGAGACAAGATGGAGGGGAGTGAGACGTCCATTGGGAATGCTTGAATGAACCGCCAGAGATGGTGCACAACCAGATAGGAGGAGGGAGAGACAACGATCCATCAAGGCGCCCATCAGTCTACAGAAGGGCAGTGAAACGAAATGAGGCCAATTCACTCCCTCCAGCGATCAAACAAGAACCAGGCGGACTTACTTTTCTGAGTAGCGAAGCCAACAATAAGGCAGTTTTTTGTGAAATTCATGCAGAAGGCAAAACTACCAAACGAGGAACGTGCTCACATTCAGTACATTTGGAGAAGCCACATTATTTGTTCAATTAGAGTATAAATATTTCTGTTAGTAACTCACAGCGCGGAGTAGCTTTTCCACCTTGCTCTTGCTAATGTCCAAACCATCTGAAATGGTTAGTCCGGTGCTTTCATCTGTGGTGAATTGTTCCTCCAGGTAATCAGCTAGAAATCAAGCACAAGATAGGTTTACTACACGAATCCTTTAGAGTGTCATGCCTACAGCCGCCCTTTAGCTTCTCTGTACGCTAACAACAGACATATTTTCGATTTTGGATTTGACCAGTTACTCAATGAGGCAGACGTTAAAGAGCATAACGTACCAAAGAGAAAGTAGCAGTCTTTCACATTCCCAAAGGTGGAGGAAAATGTCTTGGCTATGAATTTCAGTGCGAAATACTAAAGGTGCAAGAAAAAGTGCCAGAAGTTTGGAGGGTGAGGCAAAATGAATAGCTTTGAACAGAAATTCTTATGCTTCCAGTGAAACGAAAGGTTAAAGTACGAAAATAACGGTCGGACCTCATCTACGGCTTCTCATTGAATCAATTCCATCTTTATAAGACAACGCCATGGAATATTTGTGTAGGAACAAAAAGTACATTACTTGTAAATAAAGAAAAAAATTAGAATGAATCTCACGTTTAATTCAGGGTCATCGTCTCTCAACGCATCGTAGAGACCTTGGCGAATACCGTAGGTAGACGATTTCCGACTCCCTCCTCTCCCTGGACGATCAATGGCTTGTTTATCAGCTGTGAGTGTTTCAGGAACAATAGTCCACGCGTCACAGACCTGCGCCTCAATGGAGGGAATTCCCACAATCTGTCGGAGTGCTTCGCGTCTGTGCTGAACATCACAGGAACGTGGATCCAGAGATTGAGCTAACTCAGACAGACGTTTGTGACTAAGAGAAATGTAGTCAGCATCCTATCAAATTCAAAGGAAAGTTCCCAATTTTTCAATCAGTCAGATGTAACTCATTTAGGCACGAAGAGGATGGTAGCTTGTATATCCGACCTGAGTCAAAGAACTGCTAAAAGAAGATTCTAGCTCGGTAAGGAGTCGATGGGAGCACGCGCCCTCGGAAGCCTGAGGTGGAGAATTTTGACACTGGACCGTCAAAGTTTCATCATCCTCCTCCGGTATCGCTCCATCATCCTGCGCCACCTCAAGTAAGTCTCGAAGGAGTTTTTGACGAAAATCACGGAACCTGCAAACGTGTTCAACACGTAATCCGCTCCTTTTCACGTGTTTCATTGTGTAATCAAGTGGTTGCTCCAGAGTAACAGTTTTAACAAAACAGGTTTATGTTATCAATGAAAGAAATGCAAAATGACAAAAGACGATAGGAAAGGAGAAGTAGTTACCCTGACGATTCAACAATGTCCTTTAGTCCTGTTGCAGAATTGAAGATTTCACTTAAACCAGATGAATCAATATATTCCTCCACTTTTTCTTCAATTATATCCTTCAACAACGAAGTGCGATCCATTTAGTGAGGCTAAGATAGAAGAGACATAATAGGTAGGCCGATCAAGATTCGGTTCCATAAGCTCTCACTTGTGACTCTTCGCCAAAGCACAACTACAAGCAGCGAAGGAAAGCAAATCTATGTTGAAGAAAGCATAAAATCTACGGTAAAACCACAAGCTAAATCCATGGATAATCTTGCGCGTACAGTGCGCAAGCATAAAGGTAATGCGATGCAGACAAACAATAAAGAAAGACTAAATTAGACTTTAGGCCCAGTTATGTGCAAGCACTTCACGGGTATTGCAATTGAGCATATTCGCACCACCCAAACACCACCACAAGCACCATATTTAAGAATCAAACAAACTCATTGCAAGGTATTCGCTGATCAATGTAAACAAAATAGGTCATGGACCACAACCTCGATTAATACAACCATCGAATTGCTTATGCTAATTTTTGAAGGGTACTTGCATCTTGCAAGCAATCGATTGATAAAAATAATGGACTTTTACCATTTGATCCCGAACTCGAGCTAATCTTGTTGTATAACTGCACCGCTAATGGTAACCCTTTAGCTGATTCACGGTACTCTCTCCTATGCAATTAAAAAGCACTGTTCAATTTAAAAATAAGGCTTTGTAACGGCGCTTTGGAAAGATTTGATCGTTTTTCTCAATCTTTTGCAATCGCAGTTGATTTCATACATCCTCGCCACCTATTTCTTTTTCGCAAAACTTTTTCCATATAGCATTCTTTAAGACTGTTTATGTGACTGCCTGACGTTAGGTGATCACTCTAGAAGTTGTCTGGACCCTGTACACGTGGGCTGGCCTTGGGGCCATGTCCAGACCCATTTGTTCTGTTGTCTTTAGAATACATGCATACGACTGCTCTTACTGACTTCTTGTACCGGCCAGGAGGTCTCGGGACGCTACTCTGTTAATCCATCCATAGATAAGCTTGTAGCGACTCGAGACCTCACACTGGGTAAAAGAAAACATTAGGTGGAGCTGTTTGCATGTTTTCAGAAGGGAGCAAAGAGATCAGGGCTAAAAAGGCCAGCTCAGGCGTACAAGGGTCAGACGATTCCCAAAGTAACCGTTAGTCATCAGACTCTCACTTATTTGACAAAGCATTAGACGATTTTTCATGAAAGTGCTTTAAAGGAGGTGCTCAAACCAAATACAAAGAATTTAATGTTGGCAGATTTGAGATATAAATTTTAAAGAAAACCTGCTGATTAAAAGATATAAAATGGAATCCTAGCCTGTGCAACGAAACCCAAGGATTCCTTTCCGTCTCCCGAGCTTGGCCCTATGACTTCATAATCGAGACATTGGAAGGCAAGGTTTCGCCTTCCTTCGACATTGATGCGTTTTGCAAGACTATAGTTAAGCTGGCGAAAATTTGAAAGGAGCAGTTTCTGACAACTACAAAACTAAGGGAAACATCAGCTGGGACAAAAGTGACCGCGTAACCGTCTTGAAGCTCATTGAGGTGTGCAAGTTTGATTGCGACAATCACTGTCTAGGTATCATTCAGGTGGGCCATGCAAAGAACAAGGTGGCGGGACAAGAGCGAGCGTGCCTCCAACTCGACCCACCGTCTAAATCAAGTCGGGACGATTCTCCGCCCTCCTGACCGTTTTAGACATTGTTCCACCATCAGTCCTCTACCAGCCCACTTTTCCGGGCATCCAAACTCCAAACGGTGTCTCGGTGAAGCGGAAGACTGCAGAGTGCGGTAAGTACTGCGACAGCCTCGCTGCATTATCTTCGACCAAACACTCGTGAGCAAAGATAAAATCGAAACTTTTTGGTTAAAGCAATACAAAATTGGTGCTTCTGGAGGACCAACGAGTCCTTCTGCAATTTCAACTCAGCTCGATGCACGAAATCACGACAGTGAACAGCTCTACGACCACCCTCGAGTCAGTGCGATGAGAAAAGGCGGACATCGTAAGGAGGTGGTGGACACCTTCCTCCATCCCAGCATCTCCAACTTCAGCCTACTTTTTGTTGAAGAGGAGGAGGTGAAGGCAATCCTTCACATTGCATACGTGATCTCGCCTCCTTGCATTCCCTGTCCATGCTGAAATGCACTGCAAAGGTATCAAGGCTGGCCACTTCCCAGGTGGACTGGAATGCACCATTGCCATTGCGGGTGCACCATTGTTTACTGCAAGGGCTGCACAAGTTGGTCATCTCATTGGGCTTTCAACAACTGGAACAAATTCAGGCGAGGTCAAGGCCAGTCAAAATTTCACATTCATGTCGTCACATGTCCATCTGCCGCACTCCCAGTTCCCTTGCCAAATGGAAATGCCAGTGTGGACAGATGGGTGGTGGTGGTGGTGGTGACATTCATGACAAATGGAGCTGTCGAATTTGTGGTATTTTGGGTCACATCGCACTCTCTTACCCGCTCAGCCAACCTGTCAACCGCCGGTCATGGACACCTTTATTGTCTCACTCCTGTTGATGTGCCTAAGCCCAATCGAGGCTTTCTATTTTGTGAGTGTGTGGGGGAGGACTGTTGTGAAGGCACTGCCCAATGGCTAGGGCATATGCATGACAACCAGGGCAAGTTGTGGAACACTCATCGTTTGGCAAGACATTCTGGTGTTCCATGCATGCAACAGAGAGATGTGATGAATGCAGCTCCCCGCGAGGGTGACGAGGAAAGCCTCCAAGCACAGCAGGGTTTAGTTGTGCTGCCAGTCGCAGTCACCTCTCGTCCAGCCTACAAGCCGCGGTGAGCACATTCTAGTCACCTCATCAACCGTCAACGAGACAAACTCTCTGATCACAACGGGAAATGACTGTCACCATTTGGTGGGAACGGGCACGGGTGTCGGTAATTCCTCTAAACCAAGGCAGTCGGCATTACAGTCCCGAGACAGAAGTTAAATGTTCCACCTTTTATCGTCCTTCTCTATCAGCACAGAAAACTGGAAGGCACTCTCCTAATTCCAAGATGAGTGGATGCAAGTGACAACTGAGGTCTGGCTTTCCCTCTTCCTCTTCTTCAATCAAAATCTGGATTGTGCGTCCTCCACGATCCCCCATATCCTATATGTCCTGAAACTCATCTACCACAGTCAATCCTTGCTGCTGCTTAAACAGGGACATATGAAAGTGCACCCTCCAACAATGCCAACTTTGGTCCACAACGGTGGGAGCCCATTGGGTCAATCCTCCTCCTTCGTATCTCGAAAGTGGAGCGACATCAAAGGAGCCGGAAAAAATGGAGTACGGTGAGACTAAGTACGCTTTTTGCCCTACACTCCATTACAACCATGCAAGACGTTCAGCAAACCTTGTTTGATTCGTTACCTACATTCAGAGTCAAAAAGGACTCGACGCTGTTGTCAGGGTGTCGTGGGTGTGGCGTCGTTCATTCCAGCTAATAAGAATTCAGAGTTCCATAAAATACATTCCAAAGAAAGCAAAATGTGTCTCTCGTTCAGCTGTCATGGGTGTCAAAGTTCAGTACTTCTTAGTCAGAGCCTTTATCCCTGAAAACCGCCGTCGAGTTGGAGGGCTCCCATGCAACCGTAGTTAAATAAGGTTTCCCAATGCTTCGACGGAAATCAGAAACATAAACACACCAAAATACTATACTTTGACTACAGAAAGAAATCCACGATCAAAAGTGATTGGTCAAATCATCAGAGTTTTGCTAAGTGCCATAAGGATGAGCTGTTGATCGTCTGGAAGGTTCGTTGTCGAAGTGGTGCTGTGGGCATAAGGAGAGGACGACACGAGGCTTCACATGCTACACTGGAACTAGCCCCGCTTCCTTCCAGACGTCTCCAGCTACCAACAACTGCAGGCTGTCAAGGAAACAAGACTGTTTGTTCCAGCAACTATTTCATTGACATGGAACCGAGAGTGTCGCCATTTACACCTCACAACGGTGGACTTTAGGCATTGTTATCAGTTCCTATCACATATTGAACAAAGTGAGGTAGTAAAAATTGAACAATATGCATGGCACCATTCAAACATCCACCATTCATCCAGTCTACAAGAATATCCTCAACGAGGCAATGTATAATGAAAGTTTTGTTCCTCTGGTTGTTCTCTTCCCAAAAATCGATGGACTTCAAGTCTATCTGCATGGAGGCACTGACAAAGCGGGTTAAGCTGCATTCAAAAGGTTCTCGAAGAGAACCGATAAAGAAGACATTTGAATCTATGGAGGTTTTTTGTTCTACAATGCAATGAGCAATAATAAGTTGGAAAAATAGCCTCAAAATCGGCTGCTATGGCAAGTCTAATGGCAAGATCCTGATAGAGGACTGACCGCTTGGTGCTAAAGCGATTGTGGAGAGTAATGAAGATAAATCACGCAAGCTGGCGCAGTTATTTAACATATGCTCCCAGAAAATAGAAGTACCGTGGAAAAATTTTGTCTGACGTGAGATGTCAATAATCTCAAGTAATCGAAATCACTCTCCGTTATGTCATGAAAGCTCTAGTTTTTTTGAATGCAAACTGCTTCTCCACACAAACAAATACCCTTTTCCAGGTTGCTTTCTGCCGCCTGGGCACAATGGGAAATAAAGGTGTGTCTGGCGCGGTGAGTGACGGGGTGATCAGGCGGCCTCTGGTTCGGTCGGGCACGGAGCTCACGCGGGAGCCTCTGGAAGGTGACATCACAGCGAACATCCTTGTTACTCGGGGATGTACACTTGGTTTGATCTTAATTTTCAAACAGATCATTAATATATTAAACATTTTTGGGTTTAAGTGAAGATACTACTGATAGTCAGGAGCATTTCAGTAGGAAAGTACAGTTGACATGAGCGTTGTGAAATGCTTGGCTTTCCCTTTTCTACAGTCATGTTCAAACACACTTACATAGGAATTGTTGTCATTCAAAGCATCTCCACCCAACAATTGGTGAATTCTTGGAAATGAAAGCTGCGCCGATGTTGTGATTCGGTGATTTTGCCCTTCATGTCCTGTTTTTCCATTCCATGCGGTCCGACCAACCGAGCCTGGGCACGACGTATGGTAACACAAAAATAAAAATATAGGCTTTGAAGGTGCAGCAAACCAATATCCATTTCAACGTGGCCTTCAGTTTGCAGGACGTTTGTCACCATCGCTATCATGCATGCTTGTCTATTCCTTTAACCCATACAAAAAATATGGCATACCTATAATATGCCTAGCGGGCACTTCTTTTGGAAGAAATAATAAAGCCGCCTGGTCTTAAGCTTACAGCTTTCTAAACGCGGTGTGTGATTGGTGGAGTTTCGTATCTGGTTGCGAATCAACATTCGATTCAAGTGGATTGAAGCATCATCGAGGGAAGCTGCATGCCTCACATTGACTGAAGAGGAGCGCTTCAAAAGGAAAAATAAAAACAGAAGTCCAACCGTGACAACGTTACCCACTGGTAAATGTGCTTGCGGTGCGAAATCAGGTGTCAAGGTCACACCTGATTGGTGCCTGTGGGACCCGAATCGTGCATCGGATTGGCTGAAACAAAATTCGATGGTCCTTCATCCACATTGACCTCCACAATCGCTTGATTTGACATAGTGATTGTCCTGATGCAAAAATAGTATAGATTTTAAAATTAAACAGAATGAGTGGAAAAGATCAAAGTGAAATTATTACTTTACAAATGCCAAGATTGAATATGAAGAATAGTTTGATTTTCAAAACAGACTCTTTTTACAGTCCTCTTTGAATTTAGTTAGCCAAATTAAGCTTACTTTATTGGAATGGCAAGTTTTCTATGGGATGATGGATATTGCGGAACTGGTGTTGCTTTTGATGGACACTTTCCGTTGTAAAATAAAAATTCATTCCTTTGCCCATTGGATCTTGCTTTTGTCTTTTGTTTGGCCGCCATCTAAGAAAAGACACAGAAGGGTTTATTAGCCCTCCTCGACAGCTTATTTATCGGAGTAAAGTGAAATTTAAAAGACAATTGTAGTCAACGGAATCTCCAAGACTCAGGAGGCCACATCTTGAGGCTTCATGAAAGGTGAGATGTGAGAACCTGAAGAGTCTTAAGTGAAAAGATACCTGATAGAGGTATTTTCGATATTCTCGTATTGACAGTTGAACGTTATCATCAATCGGTGGTTGCAAGGGCTTTGACATTGTCATTAATTGCTCTTTCGCACTGCGGAATCTAAAATGGCAAGGAAAGCACAAAAATTTTTCTATTATCAATTTTTTAGTGGTCTGCTTTGGGATAATACCTCCGTTACACTGTTTCGGGTGGTCCGAATTGTCAACTTTTGAAGGCTTAATTGGATTATACCTTCGTTTGCGAAAAAGGGAAACCGAGATAAAAGTAGGGAAAACGAAAATGCAGTTGACAGAATTTGCATTACTTTTCACCTTATTACCTTTATTAAGGAAGTAACTACTTCAGGACCATCGGGATTGTCCTCAACGGCATAGTAAATGTATTTGTAGGAGTATCCAGAGATGCAGGCGACACTCACCTCCTTACATAACTATGATCGAGAGCTTCACAAATTGTGGCCCTTTTCAGAGGATCAAATTGCAGCAGGCGACTCATTAGATCAACACCATTCCGATCTGCACTGGTGGGAAGCATCATCGTAATCGGTTTTCGACATCTAATAAAAAATAATCAGTCAAATCCATCACCTTTTGATATGCGAGAGTGTGGCTTAAACTACCTAGTTACCTACTTGAGGCTTGCTTGTGAAAGAATACGGGAACTGTATGGACCTTTGATACACATTGTATCTAAATGGCAAGACAAATAATCACACCCTTTCCACGCAGATGAGGAGCTGATGGGAGAGAAAAATGCCAAACTGATGCTCACCTTGCTGAGAGAGTGGATGGGGCATTGTTGCGATTATAAGCTCTAATTGGTCGAGAGTGGAGGCACCAGGGAATAGGGGTTTTCCGAGAAGCATTTCACCAAGAATGCAGCCCAGAGACCAGAGATCCACGCCTTTGGTGTAGTAGCCCGAGGCAAGGAGAATTTCCGGTGCCCTATACCATCGAGTAGCTACGTACTCCGTTAGTGGAGCCGCCTCACTCACCCCCTCTCTCGGCAGCTTGTCAGTGCTTTGAAGCGTCTGCTTCCTTAAGGTGGCTAGCGAGCGTGCCAGTCCAAAATCACAGAGTTTTACGCGACAAGCTGAGTCAATCAGCACATTTGAGGGCTGGTAACGATGGCGAATAAATAGATGACGTTTTGGCATTTCCTGCTTTTAGATAAAGTCACTGAAACTAACTTTAGAAAGGCAACTAAAATCCTATTTGTCAGTAAGCAAAAAGCCAAACTTTCAGCTGTCTGAGAAAAAGGCCCCAACAGGAGTGATCAAGTTGTAAAACAAAAAAACATTGACCATATAATGTAATACTTAACACCATAAAAGAGATGCCAAAGTCGCAATAACTGATAAACAAAATTTTTTATAATCCGTTAGCCTGTTTTCCCACGATGGAATTTATAAGTCCCAAAATTGATTTCCACAGCAAAATTATAGACGTAAAAACATTGCAAAATTGTCCCATAAGGGAAGTAGAATTATCCACCTTCAGGTCTCGATGAATAACCTCCGCCGAATGCAGGTAGTTGACTGCCTTTAAAAGTTGATACATAATGAATTGCTTATGAATTGGATGAAGAATGCCTCCACGTTTGATTACCTTGTGAAGATCCGTTTCTTCAAGCACATGGTAACAAGGAAACCATATATTTACCCATATATTCAAAGACAAGGTAAATATCCTTCTTGTTTTGTGCCTTAAAAATTCCATGCAGTCTCACAATGTTTGGATGGTTGCCAAGTTCTCTGAGAAAAAATATTTCACGATATGTTCTCTGAAAGGTCATATCCTTGATGAAGCTGAGTTTACTTGGGCGTCGGTTTTGTTACAAAATGCATCGAAAATTTTTTTTAAAGCAAAAGCGTCGCTGGTTTTTTTTGAAATAACCTTCCAAACAATTCCATAAGCCTACAGTTTTAAACAGAGTCAGCAAAAGAGTCACAATTACAACATTCGATAAGGTAATAATGCGGAAGAAAATACTCCGATGAATATAATATTCCGAATTTAATACTGACAATCCGAATTAGTATTCTGCTTTTACCACAAAAAGGAATAACTAAAGAAGTTTTCAAGATAAGATATGTAGAACTGCGAAGTCGAAAATGAATTAAGCATAAGGGTTTATAATGTAGAGTTTGGAAAATTGGTATAAGTACGAAACAATTAGACGTACACCTTTCCCCAATCGTTTTGAAATTTCAAAGTGCTTTAACACTTGACTCTCAACAATGGATGTCATGCTGGTCACGAGCTCTACTTGGAGTAATTTTAGAGTCACTCCCACTAAACATCCGTTTACCGATTATCGTGAAGACGCAGTGTTTTAAAACTGTTACTTCCGGATGGTAACACTTTGATCTACTTAAAAATATATTCGAAAATCAATTGTTATAAGAAGTGTATACAATGGTTTTCACACCCGAATTCAATCACCTTCTTGATTCACTAGCAATAAAAAGCAGGATATCTTATTTTATTACCACCTGAATGAAGTCAAATTATTAGATTATTGCATTTAACTTGTCTTTTACATAGTTATTGACCAGAGCTTATCTACGTCTCGTATACATCTTCTTTATTTAAGTTAGTGATTACAATATCTGCTTTATGTGACCATCGGTTGCCTTAGTTTTCTTGTTGTCCTTGTTCTTGTAGGCTGAACTTCGAACCATGTCAAGGATTTAATTCTTCTTATCTTCTCTTCTCCAAGAATGCAAATATTAGGACCAACGTATTGCTTTCTTCGACCTATTAGGAAATTCCGTAGTGCAGCGCTAGTGGCAACAGAAACCGATCCAAATATATGTCACCACGCCCATCCTAATATCAAACTTTTGTGACATATGGTGCGGAGGAAATGGTCATAATTTAAAAGGGGAGTGTAGCTCATTAAAGGCATTGTTTTGATCAGTGATTTCGGTTGAATCAGGGTAGGAATGCGAATGTTTTAAAAAAGGACGGTTGGCGGTTTCTTGAGCTTTGGTCTAGATTTAATCACTCTTCCACATTTGTGTTGTTCATACCACTATATTGAAATGCCAAACTCAACGTTTGTAAGCCAACAGCCTCCTGAGGAAAAGTTAGAGCGACAAACTATATAAGTTTATGGGAAATTGTCTCAATTTTTCAGCGGAAGGGTTACGAATAATTGCTCTATTTGGCTTTACTTTGCACTTGAACGCCACAGACAAGCTATTAACAACTGAAGGGAAAAATTATACCTACGCATCATTCCTACTACATCTGCATACGGATGTCCACAACTGAGCTGATTCGAAACCTACTTCCTACCGAAATGTGCTTGTTCCCGTCCTTAGTGTTTGATCTTTGCATTTAGAACAATCTTTGGACGTCTAGTCACCAGCGCCGTTAAACAGCGATAGATTTTATACATTCACACTCCAAATCAAGTTGAAGATGCTAAGTAGACCGAGATCGATTTCTCAGCCTGATGATGATTGACGCGGCTGGCTTGTAGGTGTTTTATTGTTGCATCGAATACTTTGGAGCTGCAGCACACCGAGACTTTTAGTCAAGTAAAAGAGTGCATGAGTTTAGGCCGAATGCGCACAATTCAGAAATGAATAATGGATTGGGCCTTGGGCAAGACGAATACAAATGTAATCACTAAATATCATGTAGAACATGAGAGAGGCATTACCGTAATGCTTGGCCTAGCGTCCTAGGACTTTCCATAGGGTGGAAGAAAGCAGTAAGTGAAGCCGGATACGTGGATTCCAAAGTGGAGGGAACAAATGAACCTGAGCATGGCCCGAAGGCCAGCCCACATGTACAAAAGTTAGACAAATCATCAAATGACCGCCTTACGTCAGGTATTCATATAAATAAAGCATTTCACTTGGTTTATGCATTTGGTGATTACTTTGGTATTCGTCTAGCTCTTGTCCGCGTAAGCTAAGCTTCGGTTCAACTCAGGCTTGATCCCTTTTCTCTCTCTGAAATACATGCATTAAGCTCCACATAATGTCTTCTTTTACGCATGAAATGTCTCTGAACGTTACATTTACACTTAGTATAGACACATGGCACCTGTATTTCGTTCAATAATCCGAATTTACGCGATTTAGTTGCAAAACGCGTATATTTTCAATTGCAATATGTGCATCTTAATAGCCTGCTTTAGTTCATTGACACATACATCTGTCTTTAATTTGTAGCAATAAAATTTGTACTGTTTAGCAATAATAACTTACCGCGCTTCCTCAAAAACTTTAATCGCTCGGACAAACTCGCTTGTTGTGTTAATAGCCTATTTGGTCATTAGCTGCCGTGTTTCCAGGCCTTGACTGGTGTCGCTAAAATGGATCTTTACGTTTGGCCCTGTAGTGAGGGTATCGAGTCGTTTGATAGTGACTGTCTTGTTGTCATCGTAATTCGATTATCCTTCTAAATGCTTTAGACTTATCTACGACTTGGTGGATGTCTAATTAACTTAAACTCTTGTCGAGATTGTGATAAGTCGGACTTTCATAACATTCCGCTCTTGGTCCATGGCAGTAATACGGTTACAACGGTCTCAAAGATAATAAATTATTTGCGCAAAGAGGTAAATTGCTGTGATGTCTATAGTTTCTCAGAACTACGGGTTGGAATACGAGCTTTCAGACGAGGAGTTAGCCCGTCTCGAGTCTCTCGTTACTTCGGTGGAAAGGCGCGTAACGCCCGCCTGCCGTTGGCTTATTTGGGCTGACTCAAACGTTTATCGTTCGTATACATCAGCTTTCTATCGTTCCAATCTCTCTTATCTTCAAGGTTTATGGTACCCTCGGCGCTGGCGGGATAAGTTGGTAGAGGCTGCAGAATTTTCTCAATTAGCTCTCTGTACTAATCGCGACGCGAAGGGTCGTCGCAGGAATGTTGAAATGACAGTAAGTTTGTGGTTTTTCCCTTTTATGTCTCAAGAGGCCATAGGTTCACTGGTTTCCGATGCTTTTTTAGCTCTACGAGGGAGCCATACGCTGTCTTACTGCCCTCTCCTACATTCTAGGCGACAAGCAGTTCTTCTTTGGCGATAAGTTAGTTTGCCCTTTGCAAGTCTTGAATCATCATTGGACTAGTTTTCTCCACACATTGGTTCAATTAGTGCTTACTTCGCGGACTGTGACCAGTGACTGTTACTTTGTAAATTGCTTAACTGATGGCCATTATTATCACTTACCCATTGTTGTGAGTCCTTGCAAACTAGCAAATCTCTTTTTTACTGTACATTTGTCACGCGATCTTACTATTTGTCAAATCTCTAGCCGAAAATTGTATCACTGTTTTCAGATTGAAGTTCGCTTTCCCTTTGTACCATTGAAAAGATTTTTGCGCTTAAGCAATGATCGTGATTTCTTTTACATAAGCTGATCCTTCAAAATGGTCTTTGTACGGAATTCTGCGTTGCCATAATGGTTGAGGAAATCTGTACCGATGGGGATGGACTTTATCAAACTCAGTATTGAGGCACAAATGTCTTTCAATGCATTACCCTACGGTACTTTCTCTGTGTCAACATCTGTGCGTAGTGGAGCTTATTGGGTGTCCTTATCTAGGTAGATCTCGAGATGAAATACTGAAACTAAAAGTTTCACGCTTTCTCTACACTTATAGGCCCTCGGCCATCGACGCATACGTGTTTGGACGTCTGTGGCCGTTGCTGAACTATGACCGTTTGTGTCGCCAGCAGGAATCAAAAATTTGTCACCGTCTCATCAGCCACATTTACCAGTGTGAAAACCTCCTTAATCTTTGCGGTCGAGTGCAACGCCTTTGCTTCCCTGCTGCAATCAGCACAATGCGCTCCTGTGAGTGTATTTCGATGCCCTTCCATAGATACCTTATTACCAAACCATATTTTTCGCCGTGAAAATTTACTTTATACATTTGATTAGGATTTTCTAGTTGGTGTCAGTTGAATGTTTTGAACAGTGGCAGTGGGATTCGTGTTTAATCTGCCCACGTCTGCTAATGATGTAATGTTAATCGCTCTGGATTGTGAGTCCACTACTACCCCAAATTTGGTACAACGCCGACTATCTTGATTGGAGTTCCCTTAGAAATCCTTCAATAAGTAGTTCAGGAGGGCACAGAAGGCAGTTTTTTTACATGTTTGATCATTTAGGCCCAAGAATTCCTCCTCCTAACTTTGTCTTTTGGTCGAACCTAGGCAATTGGACAACTGTTTTTTAATTCACCCATAAACTGACTTTAGACCTTGTGAGGATAGCTCCATCTTCAAGACTGTTCAAACTGTTCAAACACTTTGGTTGCTACTAAATGGTTCTACAAGTACTTCTTTTGAAGAAATGGCGGTGTCGCTTTACAATGGAACCGAATACCTGGGACACGACACATTAATACTCACTTTTTAGTTGTTTCCGCAATTTCGTGCTTAATGACGCAGTTTCGCCGGAACTCTTTCCAACTTCCTTACATAAACGTAATGAAAGTGTTGAGTCTCCCTTTCTCACCCGCTATCTTCATATAAATGATGTAGCAATTTTACGATGTTGGAATTTTTTGCCAAATTTGGAATTGCGTTGATGTGTCACTGCGTTGTTGACAAAATCCACGGTTGGAGTGATTGCCGAATTGCCTGTGATTGACAGCTGTTCTGTTGTGAATCATTTCAGCATCCGATGTCCTCATGCCTTTTCCCCATCACTCATTTTTCATTGCTCCTCCAAAAAAGTCTGAAACCTTCCAGAGTGAATTGGCTTGCCACTGCTACCAACCTAGCGTCAGCGTCGCTTTGTGCGTAAGGTTGTCAAAATTGTACGGTTACAGCATCATTATCATTGTCGAGCAACTGGTGTGGCTAAATGTAAAGTTACAACTCACTTCAGCTAACGATCTAATATCACAATTTTGTCTACAGCTGCTAACGCGCAGACGGAGGTGGACGAGAAGGCCGGTGTTAGACGTGGCGGATGGTTGTCCTCTCTCTTCTCCGTACCCACTGTCTTGCCATCGTGTCTTGTGCCCTTCCGGGACAGTCTTGTTTTCGGTTTCCTCGCTCTTGTTATACTCGGTGTTTTTGGTATCGGCTCGGGTCTCATCGGTTTCAGTGCGGAAGAAGAGGAAGCGGAGGATGCGGGAACGGTAATGCTGGAGTCGGGGGATTTCGCTGACTTCATTGAAGTCGATGAATAAGACCTGCTTCCGTTTTTTTTTGTATAGATTCCCTAGTATTACTACTTTTTTTTAAGCAACTAGCCTTTCATTTGTCTTTGCTACTTTTTTATCCCTCTTAAACTTGGAGGAGCTTAAATAGCCTTTCCGGAGGGGAGGAGTTACTTTGATTTTTTAAGCTTAGCTTTTTCACGTGAGAATGCTGTTGATTAGCAGTTTGTGCAACAGTTTTAACAACTCTCGCCCCCTTTTTCGATGCCTTTAATATCAAACTTCAAAAAGACAATTGATTTGTTTGACAGATTCGATAATAGTGTGGGATTTTTGTCGAGTTTTGTATTCATTAGTTTTGTTTTCAAAGATTGAGATCATTGGGGTTAAGATTTGGACATGACTTTAACTGTCAGCGACAAGTAATGTGGCATTCAAATGGAGCCATACATTCCGTTTGCATGTCAACGAGCAGTGGTGATAGTGAAGCGTGACGATGGCAGGGAATTCCAAGTTGCGGACACATTTGTGCCGTCCGGTGTGTATTTTGAGAACGCCCGTCCATGCAGTTGGCTTAGGGGAATGTGTGCACAGCAACGGTCAACTTTTCGATATGCAACACATGTATCGGTGATTATGGGACTTTCTCTATGTTGCTGCAGATTGGACTGCGCTACACGATGGAGGTATCTCGAATGTCACTTGGTAGGTATTTGGAAGTTAGTATCAAAAATATGGGAAGGGGATGGCTTTTACGTGCACAATATTAGGCGCCTCTTCATCTTTGCTACTTAATTTTCGTTAGTAGAGCTGTAAATATCAGGCATGATGAATGCGTTGACCGCTCGAACAATTAGTCTTCAAGAGGACTAGGAGATCTCGCATTTTGAATGGATGAGCCATCGTCTGCATAACTCGCGTTAGAGATGTCGCTTTAACAAGCGTTGGCGTATAAGGAAAATAAAATAACTACTTTGCGTCAAACAGTAGGCAGTGTTTTAGCCACATTAATTGTAAATCTCGAAACGACTTGAAGTGTAACAAATGGAAGTGCTATAAGCATAATTTCGTGTTTGATTCCTGTGCTAGTGACTGGTCTAAGTGATTAAAGGAAAAAGGATTGTGCAAGTGATACTCTGCGATTATGACAAGATGGCCATCTCCAGTGCCATGCGAACTGATGTCAGTACACTACACCCATTCTCGTCAGGTTGATGGATCTGTTGATTAGCTTTTTGCCTCACATAAAGAGTGTCTGGTGTGTTTGCAGAGGTGAAGACCAATGCAATGTCTAGTCAATTTGCTTGCTTCTCTAATTAACTCTTCATCTTTATTATGTCACGAACTCTTTAGGCTGCAGTAACACATTTTGAATGACTAGCTTGTGCAAGTAATCCACGTTTTGTTTTCATTCTCGTCACCTTTTTGTCATTTAATTTAGCGTGAGGGACGCAAGAGCACATACAAGAAACAATCCAGACATGTGGCAGTAAAGAGTCAACTGTACGATTTAATCGCAACACCATAATTGAGCAACTCAACCCACACTTTTACCCTTGGTTATAAAAGTAAACTAATAAATTAGGCTTTGGGATGTGTTTCCTTAACCCTAGAGCGAAAGTGAAGGCACAAATTAGAAATCTGAGGGGTGAAACACACTCCTACGAAGGTGGTCCACTGAAACATTCCACGCGTGTCGACAACCCCGAAAGCACCAGTGTCTCACCTTGGTCACCCTTATACCTCGGAAAGGAGGAGGCGAGTAATGAAAAATTGGAATGCAAAAGTTTCCTTGAGTTGTAGACGTCCAGAGGGAATTGCTTTACCACTCTTGCATGAGTGTCCGTCTACTCCACATTAGTTGTGCACACATTGGGGCAGAGGTTGGTAAAATTTTTGTCCCCCTTTGAAGTTGTTAAGCCACTAGCCAAGCAGAGTCGTGTGTGTTTGTTTAACGAGTTGGTTAGCACTTTTTTGTAAACAAAAAGGCAACTTCACTTTGGTGTGCCTGATATCTTGTCGTTCTAGGCAAATGTGAAGGCGGTGGCAGCGCGATGGACTCATATCAGCGCTAATCACTGAGCATGGCGGAGGTTTCAAGGTGTTTCAGGTGTCCTTACCACGCAGTGATGGGAGAAGGTGTTCACACTCTTGATTACTCCACACATCTGTCATCGCCCGCCTTGACATTGCCTTCTTCGAGTTCCACACCTTTTATTACCTCGTAGGAAGGTAAATGAGTTATCTTTTGTGATTTCCACTGCTTCCCATTCACCCCTTTTCTGTCTCTTTCCTCTCCCTTTTACTACTCATCCACCACCACCACCACCACCGCCATCATCATCATCATCATCATCATAACTCTTCTCCTCGTTTGGGAATGAAGACAATAGGAAGAAATTTATTGCTGCTCCCACAATGCGAGTGTGAATGCAAAAAAATGTCAAGTAGAGAGAGAGAGTGAAGGGCTGTCTCACTTCAATGCTCTTCATCCTGTCACAACTTGTCGCCACCTGCACAACCACCCGACGTCACCCAAATCATCGTCTCTCTCGTCCCTTTTTCCCACTATTAACCAAACAGTAGCCAACTCAACATAAAATAAAATAAATGACATTGAGGCAAACGAATGGTCTTTTTTTCCTTTTTTTTGTGTCCTGGTACCTATTTAAGTGAGTGTAAAAACGAGGCTCCTCGGAAGGGGAGGAAGCACTGTTGCTGATTTGCGTGTGTGCCCCAAACAAAACCTTTCCCTTGGTTTAGCATAGTCTGATGAATTAATAACACACTTTTCCAAAATGTGGTCCATGCAAGACAAAATACACTGCGCTGGGATTTTCACTTGCAAAAACAGGGGGGGCAAAGAAGAAGAAAAAGAAAAAGGAGGAAACGAAGGAGAACGAGGAGGAGGAGGAGGAGGAAGGAGAAGGGGGAACACTGAAGAAGATCAGCATCTACTACAATATTCAAAGTATGGAAAATTGTAGTTCCCAAATCCTCTGCATTCAAACAGTCGTTTTAATTTTATCACGATGTTCCAATTTTTGCGTATTTGCTTACCTCCTTAAAAGGAAGTCCGACGATGGTGCGTCGGCAGCATGTCCAGGAACCGGAAACCAAAAAAAGGAGGAAAAGACAAGTGAATTTTGTCACCTCAAGTCTGGATTTATGGGATGAGTTGATTTGTGATACCTCTTCTGCCTCCTTTGCCCTTCCCAGTGGAAGTAAGAAGTGCATGCAAAGGAGTAAAAATTGTTTTGACCTGTTTTTACCTCAGGCCAAACTGTCCACTCCTCTCAGTGTAGCCTCAAAACGAGTGCTTCTATCCGATGGGAGGGCTGAAAAGGTGGAATGAAAGGATCGAGATGAATGAAATTGACTTCTCACCCTTTGTCATGCTAACCAAGCAGAATTTTTATTTAAATAAAAAAAAAAAAGGTTGGAAATAAAACACACACACACCGCTTAATTTGTCCACCGCACGGTGGCTCGAAGGCTCCCACGGTGGAAAAGTACTCGGGTGGCCTGAGGCGTGTGCGTGTAAAAAAGAACGAAAACAACATTTTACACACGTACAACCTCTCGTACCTTGTAAAGTGGTCAAAAGGGGTGTGAAAATGAGAGAGCATTAGAGGTTATTTCAAGCCAACAATTAGAATGGAAGGAATTGGGTGTGTGTTGGCTTGAGGAGAATAAAAGACAAGATGTCTCGAATTTATGTAGTCGGACTCAGTCGCGTAGAGCCTTGCCATCTGGTGCAAAATAAATTTGCATTGACATATGGAAGGTCAGAATGAAATTGTCAAAGGATCACTCCGTAAAGACGTGGACATTATAGAGAGGCAAATATTTCCTCCTCCTCCTCCCCCTCCTCCTCCCCCTCCCTTCCTCTTCATTTGCACACTCACCCTCACTCCCCCACTTGCTCTTCGCCCTCCACCTTCTCTCAACTCCCCTATTTACTTAATCATGCTATTTTCGATAAAACAAAGGAATAAAAGTGCAGGAGGACTGATGAAGAGTCCGCAGGACGCTGTGCCTCAGAAGCAGAACCACTCATTAGAGTGTCCCCCACCCATACACGTGTCCACTCAGACCAAAGGTTATCCACTAACCCAACCCATAAAGCCAACAAAGCAATTCAATGGACTGAACTGCGGTGCAGATGTTGTTTACCTTATTTTCTCAATCAAATTTGACAATTTCTGTAGCTGAGAGCATAAAATTTGGGATCCACCCTGTCACTGTACCACGAATGAGATGAGGATGAGATAGAGGCTACATTATCCCTCCATTCGCCCTAACAGAACAAAAAGATAGCTTTTACTGCTTACGAAAGGGGTTTTGAGAGGTGACGCTTCCATTTTTCGCCTTTCCTTCTTTACTTTGCACCTTTCAAAACCATCAACTACACCGCTATCGCCGGCATCACATATGCGACGTTTACCGAAGCCTCTTGCCTACAGACTTTACTTCCACCAAAGGTGAGTAAACGAAAAAAAGTCTAATGATGGTTTGTAGATAAAAAGAGGGATGCAAAAATGGCGATAAGTTGTGCTGGATAGGAAATTGTGCCTTCCAGAGTGGAGATTTGCCACGTAGAGGGCAAAATTCACCTCATGGTAACCACAAAAAGGCAAGCATGCAATTGGAGGATAAAATGGGCAGGTGAAAACACGTGTGTAAAGACTTTATTTTATCAAGATAAAATAAAGTGAAATACATTAATATCGGCCCCGTTTGTCTAGGCTAAAGTGTTTGCCCATTGTTTCATTACTTTTCATCGTACGAACTTGACCCTCTGTAGTCGATGGGACAAATGCCATGCAACTAAAAAAAGATGGAAAAGGAAAGACTTCTAAGGACAAACAAATGGAAATTGACTACACAAATAAGCGAAATGCCTTTTTTTGTAGTTCTACCAATTATGTTGTCTAGTTGTGAGTATATCAAATTAGTGAAGGCGGACCAACATGCGAAGGGAGATAAGAAGTGTGACATGAAAAGGAAAGTCACAGTTGATAATCAAG